CTTGTGCCAATAGCAAATTTTTTTTAAAATTTCTGATTTTTTTAATGTTTGTATCACGGTGCCTCTGCTCGGGGTGAGCCCAGTCAGGTGCAGCAGCAGCATCCCTGGTGTGCACCCCAATTTTGGGTTCACCCCAATCCCTTCCAAGACCCCAAAGTGCCTTCCAGCTCCCCAGAGAGCTGAGCCAGCCCCAGATCAGGACTGGAGGGGTGGCAGCACCAGGGAGATGGGACAGGAAGCACCCGGGGCTGCCTGGGTGCTCCAGGGCAAAAAAACAACCCCAAAAACCTCGGGGTGCTCGAGGTGAATCAGGGTCAGCAACCCCCAGAGCAAAGCTTTTTTTATTATTTTTTTAGAAAAAAATAAAAATCAAGTCACAGCAAACCCAGCAAAGCCCCGAGGCAGGAGGGCTGCAGTCCCTGCTGGTGTTTGGGTTTTCCCTATTTTTATTAATCCTGGTAGGCTCCTGGCTTTTTTTTTTGTTTGTTTTTTTGGGTTTTTTTTTGCTATCCCAGTGACCTCCACGGGTTCATTTTTGCTGTGTAAAGGAAAAACTCTCCTGTATCAGTATTAAATTTACAGATTTTCAATCCCAGTGGCTGCTCTGGGCTCTTTTGGGGAGGGATCCATGCGGGAAAACGTTTTGGGAGGGGAGTTGTCCTTTCTCCTAAAAACTCTCTTGCTTTAAAAGCTGCTTTAAGGTGTTTTAAACCACTTTAAAGTGCCCTAAAAGTGTTTCAAAGTGCTTTAAAGCACATTAAAAACTGCTTTAGAGTGCTTTCAACCCCCTGTTCCACCTGCAGGGGGGAGCTCTGAGGGGCTGGAAGTGCCCTCGGGGGGCTGTGGGGACACTTTTGGGGACAACTGGGCAGTTTTGGGGACGAGCGGGGCCTTTGCCAGCAGGTGGCACCAGGGGCTAAAATATCCCCCAAACCCCCAAAATTTGGGGCTGCCCAAACGTTGGGGTGCTCCTGGGTGGGGTCCCACTGAGGCATCTGGTGTTTCCTACCAGATGGTGCCTTTTTTGGGGGAGAAAATGCTGCTTTTGGGAAAAATCATCTTTTTGTTTTGCTTGAGAGCCAATCAGCTGCAGGCTTTGGTTATCCTGCAAAGCAGACCCCGAAATTTAGCTGGAACTGGTCAGTGAAAATTGCATTTCTCCAGGGTTTGTTATTTTTTTTTTTTTGGGCTGACCCTGCTACAGAGTCAAAGCTGGATTGTCTGGGATGAAACCAAATATTTCTCTTTATCTCCATTTTTTTGGGGCTTTTTCTTTGTATATATTTTATTTTGTGGCTTTCTCAGTTATAAAAATTCTAACAAAACTATTACTAAAAATTTGCCATTTTGAAAAAAAAAAAAAAAGCAAAACAACAAAATACTTTAATTTTGGAAGCAGCAGGAGATGTGCTGACAATGTCACATCCCCTCCCAAAAAACCCCACCTTGATTTGGTGCAGGGGGAGAAAACTTTGCAGGAAGAAAACACCCCCAGTTTGCCAAAATCCAGCAAATTCCCCTGAAATATCCTTAGGGAAAAGCTCCAGCATTCCCATGGGAGGTGCAGGAGAGCAAAGCTCAGAGGATCCCACATCTCCCACCACCCCCAGAGGTTTCACTGGGGAAAAATGGGGAAATTTCAGGGAGTTTGGGTAATATTCCCTGTGGATTCATTTATTCCCTGTGGATTCACTGAACCACCAGGGTAATATTCCCTGGTTTGGGTAATATTCCCTGTGGATTCACTGAACCACCGATCCCCAGGGAGAAATTGGCATTTTCCACCCATCTGGTGGAATTAAAAGGATGAAATCACAGTTGGACCAGAAAACAGCCTGGAAAATTTAGGCTTTCACTCCTTTTCTACCTCAGTTCTGTTGGTGGGAGAAACCAAACTCTGCTGTGCATCTACTGTCAAGGAGAGGAATTTTGCTTTTCCAAGGCTGTTTTCTCCCAAATTTCCAGGCAGAGCCAGGCCAGGCTGGTGTCAGGGAGTGAGGGAAGGAGCCAGCCCCGAGCTGCTGCTTCTCACAGAGCCCCAATTGTTGGAGCCTTCCTCCCCAAAGAGCCGCTCCCTCCTCTCCTGATAGCCCTTGTTTGTCCAGAGAAATCACCAGGCACGGCCTGGATCCCTGGGCAGCCCTGGGATTTATGGACATTCAACACCAGGAGTTTTGGGGGTGCTGGCAGCAGCACATGGCAGGAAAACAACATCCCTGCCACTCTCCTGATTTTGGGAATATCCTTTAAAAGGTGAGGAAGATCCCACTCTCCTCTCTGAAACACTGGATCCCGGTGGGCTGAGGGTCAGGATTTTGCCATGGTGAAGGATGTGCAAACCAACCTGGGATCTTTTTGTGGGATCTGTGGGATCTGAGATGATAAATTCCGGAGAGTTTCTGTATTTCCAGGTCAGCACAAGTTCCTGTCCTCAGCAGAGAACTCAGGGTCAGGATTTTGCATTTGTGAGGGGTTTGAAAAACAACCTGATGAGTTTTTTGTGGGATCTGAGGCACCAGGAAATTATAAATTCTGGAGGGTTTCTCTATTTCCAAGGCAGCACAAGCTCCTCTCCTCAGCAGAGGAGGATCAGGACAGGATTTTGCCTTGGCCAAAACAACCTGGTGGGTTTTTTGTGGGATCTGTGGCACCAGGAAATGATAAATTTTAAAGGATTTCTTCATCTTTAGGGCAGCACAAGCTGCTCTCCTCAGCAGAGGAGGATCAGGACAGGATTTTGCCTTGGCCAAAACAACCTGGTGGGTTTTTTGTGGGATCTGTGGCACCGGGAAATGATAAATTTTAAAGGATTTCTCCATCTCTAGGGCAGCACAAGCTGCTCTTAGCAGAAGAAGATCAGGGTGGGGATTTTGCCTTGGCCAAAACAACCTGGTGGGTTTTTTGTGGGATCTGTGGCACCGGGAAATGATAAATTTTAAAGGATTTCTCCATCTCTAGGGCAGCACAAGCTGCTCTTAGCAGAAGAAGATCAGGGTCAGAATTTTGCCTTGACCAAAACAACCTGGTGGGTTTTTTGTGGGATCTGTGGTATCAGGAAATTATAATTTCTGTAGGGTTTCTCTATTTCCAGGACAGCACAAGCTGCTCTCCTGAGCAGAGGAGGATCAGGGCTGGGATTTTGGGCTTGGCCAAAACAATCTGGTGGATTTTTGTGGGATCTGTGGCACTGGGAATTGATAAATTCTGGAAGGTTTCTGTACTTCTGGGTCAGCACAAGCTGCTCTCCTGAGCAGAGGAGGATCAGGGCTGGGATTTTGGGCTTGGCCAAAACAATCTGGTGGATTTTTGTGGGATCTGTGGCACTGGGAATTGATAAATTCTGGAAGGTTTCTGTACTTCTGGGTCAGCACAAGCTGCTCTCCTCAGCAGAGGAGGATCAGGGTTGAGATTTTGCCTTGGCCAAAACAACCTGGTGGGTTTTTGTGGGATCTGTGGCACTGGGAATTGATAAATTCTGGAAGGTTTCTGTACTTCTGGGTCAGCACAAGCTGCTCTCCTCAGCAGAGGAAGATCAGGGTGGGGATTTTGGGCTTGGCCAAAACAACCTGGTGGGGTTTTTTGTGGGATCTGTGGCACTGGGAACTGACAAATTCTGGAAGGTTTCTGTACTTCTGGGTCAGCACAAGCTGCTCTCCTCAGCAGAGGAGATTTGAGCTCGCCCGGGATTTGAGAATTGGACGCTCGAGGATCGGAATTTTGACGCTTGAGAATTGAGAATTAATTAAGGTCTCACCCACCAATTTCTTCTCTCAGGGCTGGTCTCAATAAATAGCAATAATAAAATGATGGGTTTGCGCTCCAAAAAGGCACATTCCCAAAAAAAAACAGATTTAGAAAAGGTGGTAAAACTGAAATAATGAAATGCAAATCATAAATGTGGTGGTTTATTACTGAGCTGTGCCTGTAGGCTGAGCTCAGTGGTGGCAGCCCTGGCAGCACAGCAATCCCAGGATTTTGGATGGCACGTTCCCCGTGCCAGGATGTTGTGGCTCCTCATTCCCATGGGTTTTCCTGGCATTGGTTGGGATTGATGGTCTAGAAGGGCTTTCCCAACCCCTTTGGCTCTGAAATTCCATCATTTTGACCCAATTTTCCCACTGGGATGGCCTTGGTGGGACATCCATCCTTGCTGGTGACACTTGGGGACTGTGGTGACCTTGCAGTGGTTGGATTTCACTATTTGGGAAAGCTTTTCCAACCCCTTTGGCTCCGAAATTCCTTAATTTTGGTCCAGGCCTGGGGAGCGGCCTGGCCAGGCCATGGCACCGCGGGGACAGCAAGGCCTGTGACAGATTGAGTCCAGAGAAGGGACAAAGGAGCTGGGGAGGGAATGGAGCCCCAGGAGGGCTGAGGGAGCTAGGAAGGGGCTGAGTCTGGAGCAAAGGAGGCTCAGGGGGGCCCTTGTGGCTCTGCACAAGTCCCTGCCAGGAGGGGACAGCCGGGGGGGTCGGGCTGTGCTCCAGGGAACAGGGACAGGCGGAGAGGGAACGGCCTCAGCCTGGGCCAGGGCAGCTCAGGGTGGAATCAGCAGGAATTTCCCCATGGAAAGGGGCTCAGGCCTTGGCAGGGGCTGCCCAGGGAGCTTTGCAGTGCCCATCTCCGGACATATCCAAGAATTCCTGGATGTGGCACTCAGAGCTCCGGGCTGGGTACATAAGGTGGGGATCGGGCACAGCTTGGTCTCGATGGTCTTGAAGGTCTTTTACAACCTCAGTGCTTCTGCGATTCTGTGCGCAGCGGCTGGAACGCTGAAAATTCACCAAAACGCGAAAAAAACCAACCAAATGCCTTCACGGGGGGCGGGTGGCCCCGCGCGGACTACAACTCCCACCAACCCCCGCGCGGCCCCGCGAGGAGGCGGGGCGCGGTATCGCGCCGCAGGGGATGCCGGGAGCTGTAGTCGCGACGGGGCGGAGCACGGGCGGGAGGACTGCATGTCCCGGCATGCAGCGCGGCGGCGAGGGCGGCGGGGCGGGGCGAGGCGGGGCCGGCGGCCCTGAGGGAGCCGGAGCGGACGCGGAGCCGGAGCAGTCGGCGGCGATGTCGGTGCAGGTGGCGGTGGCCGCGCCCGCCGTGGAGCTGAAGGAGCTCGGCGGCCCCATGGACAAGGCGGCGGGGCCGCCGTGCGAGCCTGTGGGCGCTCACGCAGCGGGGCACGGCGTGGCGGCGCCCGCCTGCCCCGTGCCGGGCGCCGAGCGTGAGGCGGCCCCGGCCCCCTCCGCCGAGCGGCCTCCGGGGGGCGGCTGCCCCGGGCTCTCCTCGTCCGCCGGGCTCTCCTCGGCCGCCGGGCTCTCCTCGGCCGCCGCCAAGGTGCCGCAGGCTTCGGCCATGAAGAGGAGCGACCCTCACCACCCCCAGCACCGGCACCGCGACGGCAGCGACGGCAGCGGCGGCGCGGCCGAGGCGCTGGTGAGCCCCGACGGCACCGTCACCGAGGCGCCGCGCACCGTCAAGAAGGTAACGGGGGCGGCAGCGGCAGCGGGCCCTCCCGGCGGGGCTGTGTCTGCGCCTTGTCCCCCCCGCCTCGTGTCTGTGCAGTGGGGACATGTGGGGTGACCCTGGTGCCTTTACACCGCATTCCCTCACCCCCAGGTGACACTGGGTGCCTTTACACCCTGTTCCCTCAGCCCCAGGTAAATATGGGTGTGTTTACACCGCAATTCTGCACCCCCAGGTTGACACTGTGTGCCTTTGCACCTCACTCCTGCACCCCCAGGTGATACTGGATGCTTTTACACCCCGTTCTCTCACCCCCAGGTGACACTGGCTGTGTTTACACTCCATTTCTGCACCCCCCAGGTGACACTAGATGTGTTTACACTCCACTTCTGCACTTCTAGGTGACACTGGGTGCCTTTACACCCCGTTCCCACACCCCCAGGTGACATTGGGTGCCTTTCCCCCCTATTTCTGCACCCCCAGGTGTCCCTGGGTGCCTTTCCCCCCCATTTCTGCACCCCCAGGTGTCCCTGGATGCCTTTCCCCCCCCATTTCTGCACCCCCAGGTGTTCCTGGGTGCCTTTCCACCCCACTCCCTCAGCCCAGGTGTGTGAGCTCTGGGGCGTGTGGGTTCACACCAGGTTCACGTTCCCAGGGTTATCTGGGGAATGTGGATGAGATAAAAATGTGGCCACGTGGGGCAGGGCCAGGTGTGCCCATACCTGGCTGCGGGCTGTGTCAGGGGGGTTTTGGGGGTGCCCCTCTCCCAGGGGTGCTGTGGATCCTGGCGAGTCCATCCCTGTGTCTGCAGCTCCTCAGGGGGACACAGGGGCTCCCTGGAGTTGGGGGTTGTGTGTTCCCTGCTGTGCAGGCACATTTTCCCCTCCTTTTTGGCATCCTTCCCATTGGGAATCTCAGGAGGAGTTGTCCCCTCTGAACCTTTTGGGGAGTGTAGGGAAAGAAGTGTCCCTGTCCTCTCACCTCACAGAATTTTGGGGTGAAGACCTCACCTCCCCTGCTGATGCACTTCCATCCTCTTTTGGAGTTGCTCTAAAATTTCCTCTCCCTTTGGAGGGCCCGGGGTGAGAGGTCTCTGATTTCCTTCTGGGTGGCTTCCCTGCAATTCCAGTTTCACCTTGGAGGGAGCACAAGGTCTGGATCTTGGTTTCCTCTCCCCCTAAATCCCTCCTTTAGGGTTAGGAGGGGGTTCAGCTGCTCAGTAAAGGACACTTTCCCCTGAGATCCTGACTCCCACCCCAGTGTTTGGAGTCCTTTCTCTTTGATATCCTCATCCCATCTCTATTTTTAGAGACCCTCAGGGCATCCCTGTTTCTCCCCAAATGTGCTTGAACTCTTCATCCCACCCCTCTCCATTTTTTTTTCCTGGGTTCAATCACAAAAAGGGATTTCACCCTTTTTTCAGAGGGTGGCTGGGAACCTGGAACAGCTTCAACCCTGCATCACTCCCTGGCTGCTCCTCATCCCAGGAGCAGAGCCCCCAGATCCAGGAGGAGCCTGGAATTCCCAGCTGGCTCCTGCATCCCTCTGCCTGGGATGTGCTGGAGAGGACCTGGGAGTGCAAACTGTTCCTTCTCCTGCTTTTCCCAGCCACTTCAGCAGGTTCCAGCCTCTCAAAGCAGGCTTTTCATTCGTGCAGCTCCTCTCCTCCTCAGGAGGACTTAGTGAAATAAATAATATTCCATATCCTGCTTTTATTGGAATAAAACCAGATTTGGGAGCCATCAAATTGTCCCCAGGCCCGTGGCTGTACAATTGGGCAGGTGGAGCTGAAGTGAAAGGAGGTTTAGAACAAAAATAAGATCACTTTTTTTACTCAGATCCAACAGAACTTTGCTGAAATAGAGGTGAAAGTCTAATTAAAATCGATTAAATTTGTAGTGGAACTGTGATTCTTACAAGTGTTAGGCAGAAACAAAATCTCAGTATTTTTTTCTTGGCTGGTTTATATAAATATATTTTTCTTGGTTTGGTTTTTTTTTTTCCCTTTTCTTGGAATCCTAACACCCATCCTTGAGATACCATGCCACTAAATTGTGATTCTGCAATTCTGAGACAAAAAGAGTTCCCAGAAAATTGCAGTGACTCTTTTCCTCTTTTCACTCTCATTTTAAATCTTCTTTTCTGTCAGTTCAGCATTTTATTGATCAGTCTCCCTTTAGATTTTCTGATTTGTGTTTCACCTTGATAGGGTGTAAGATAGGAAGGAATAGATGGAGTAGATGATATTTTTTTTATGTATTTATATGCAGATGTTATAGATTGTGCTGGGTTTTTCTGTGCCAGCTGCAGTGATCAAATCCTGGGGAAAATCCCTGGAATTGTTGTTCCCCTTGGATTCTTGCTGGAAATGCTGGGATTCCTCATTCCTGGGGTGGACTTTTGCAGGTGAAAGCTCATCCAGTTCTGACCCTCAGCCACAAGAAAACTTAAATTTAATCAGATTCAGATTGATTTAATGATTGTGAAGTGACAACTCTGTGCCACTTTCTTCAGCTGGGAGAAGAATGGTGGAATCTCAGGAAGGCTTGGCTTGGAGGGGACCTTAAAGCCCATCCAGTTCAGACCCTCAGCCACAAGAAAACTTAAATTTAATCTGTTTCAGTCCTTGATTTAATGATTGTGAAGTGACAGCTCCCTGCCCCTTTCTTCACTGGGAGAAGAATCACAGGATGGGCTGGGTTGGAAGGGACCTTAAAGCCCATCCAGTTCTGACCCCTGCCACAAGAAAAACTTAATTTTAATCAGATTCAGGTCTTGATTTGATGATTGTGAAGTGGCAGCTCTGTGCCACTTTCTTCAGCTGGGAGAAGAATGGTGGAATCTCGGGAAGGCTTGGCTTGGAGGGGACCTTAAAGCCCATCCAGTTCTGACCCCTGCCACAAGAAAAGTTAAATTTATCTGTTTCAGTCCTTGATTTAATGATTGTAAAGTGACAGCTCCCTGCCCCTTTCTTCACTGGGAGAAGAATCACAGGATGGGCTGGGTTGGAAGGGACCTTAAAGCCCATCCAGTTCTGACCCCTGCCACAAGAAAAACTTAATTTTAATCCGATTCAGATTGATTGAATGGCTGTGAGGTGCTCGGGGCTCTGGGAGTTCCTGCTCCCAGGAGCTGGGGAGGTGTGGGATGAAGGTTCCTGACCCTCTCTCCGTGCTCTCCTGCCGTGGCTCCAGGCTGAGGATGCAATTCCTCAGTTCAGGCTGAGTGAATTCCCTGTGGGATGAATCTCTCCCGAGACTGGGGTCGAGGAGGAGCTGGAAAATCCCCTCAGGAGCAGCTGGGTGCTGCCCTGGCTGGGCTGTGGGGTGGATTTGGGGTCAGTTGGGCCCCGTTCCCGCTGCCAGGTGAATCCAGGTGTGAGTCAGGCCCTGAGTCACCTGGGCTGGCTCCATTTTGGGGTTTTGGTGGTGGTTTGGTGATGAGGTGATGGCTCGTCAGCTTTAGGGGGTGGTGGCTGCTGGTTTTGGGGTTTTGGTGGTGTTTTGTTGAGATGATCGCTCTGGGGGGTGGTGGGTGCTGGTGTTGTGTGAATTCTTAGGGCATTCCCAGATCCAAGCAGCAGAAAGTCACAAAACTTCTGGGAATCCTGTCGTTAGTGAGGGGGGAGCCTTAATTAAGACCCCCAAACTGATTAACTGGGCAGTCTTAGCCTTGTCATGGCAACTCCGTGCCCCTTTCTCCCTGGGAGAAGAATGGTGGAATCACGGGATGGGGTGGGTTGGAAGGAACCTTAAACCCCACCCAGTTCAGACCCCTGCCACAAGAAAAGTTAAATTTAATCAGATGTAGTTCTTGATTTAATGATTGTGAAGGGACAACTCCATGCCTCTTTCTTCAGCTGGGAGAAGAATCACAGGATGGGTTGGGTTGGAAGGGGCCTTAAAGCCCAACCAGTTCTGACCCCTGCCACAAGAAAAACTTAATTTTAATCAGATTCAGGTCTTGATTTGATGATTGTGAAGTGACAACTCTGTGCCACTTTCTTCAGCTGGGAGAAGAATCAGAGGGTGGGTTGCAAGTGACCTTAAAGCTCATCCAGTTCTGACCCTCAGCCACACGAAAAACTGAAATTTAATCAGATTCAGATTGATTAAATGATTGTGAAGTGACAGCTCTGTGCCACTTTCTTCAGCTGGGAGAAGAATGGTGGAATCTCGGGAAGGCTTGGCTTGGAGGGGACCTTAAAGCCCAACCAGTTCAGATCCTCAGCCACAAGAAAAGTTAAATTTTATCTGTTTCAGTCCTTGATTGAATGGTTGTGAGGTGACAACTCCATGCCTCTTTCTTCAGCTGGGAGAAGAATCACAGGATGGGCTGGGTTGGAAGGGACCTTAAAGCCCATCCAGTTCTGACCCCTGCCACAAGAAAAGTTGAATTTAAACAGATTCAGGTCTTGATTTAATGAAGTGACAGCTTTGTGAAGAATGGTGGAATCACGGGAAGGGTTGGGTTGGAAGGGACCTTAAAGCCCATCCAGTTCAGACCCTGAGCCACAAGAAAAACTTGAATTGGCTCGGATTCAGGTATTGATTGAATGGCTGTGAGGTGCTCGGGGAGCTCCTGCACCCCGCGCTGGCAGGGTTAAACCTCGGCAGCTGTGGAGTTCAAAGGAAGCAAACACCAACTTCCCGAGCGAAAGGTGACGATCTTTCCCCCCCGTCGAGCCCAGCTGCCTGCTCGGCTTTCCAGCTGAGCTCCGTCCGATGATCAACCCGAGCTTTTTGTGCTCAGGGATTCATTCGCTGGGGCTGTCGATTCATTCCTTCCGTGGGCTCCGTTCTCTCTCCGTGCCTCCGCAGCGCCGGGGGCTGCGGGAAGCGCTGCCGCCTTCTGTCACCGTGCCACCTCCTCGTGTCGCCCTCCTGGGAGCCCCCCGTTCCCGGCTGGAAGGAGTTCCAGCCCCAGAAATGCCTGCTGCTCGCTGGGCTGGCGCATCACCTGACGGTTCTGCTCCGGCTATAAATGACTCTCATGTGGCTCCTCTAAATGATGGCTCT